AAACAAACATTTGTGTTTTGGGTCAATTGTGTTCTTGTGCAATTAAATGTGATTAATCGAGATTAATTAATTACAAAGCCTCTAATTAATTAGATAATTTTTTTTAATCGAGTCCCACTCCTACATTAATTGTCTGTGTATTGGCATTGTCGCACATTTAAGTGCCATCAGGGTGAGAGAGGGTTAAGGATGAGTTTCTGACCAGGAAGTGACATAAGTTTGGCCCACATGTGGCACATCTGCAGCTCTCGGGATGACGGGACTATGTCAGAGCATGCCTCAGCCATGCTCGCCACACGTGGCCAAATGTGGGGTGATGTGTGGGCTCCATGTGGCAGAGCAGCTGGGAGCTGGGTAACTGAGCAGATGTGTCTGATGTTCAGCTTTGGGCAGCACGCTTCCTTCAAACCGCCACATTCTGCTGAGCAGCAGAGAGGGCGGGCTTATGACACGGTACCTGGAACTTGGATGTCAGAACTCACAAGTTAGCATGTCTCGAAAAAACCAAGAAAAAAAGGTTTGCTTTGGTTCTTAGCGAGCTGCAGCATTCAGGTGTCACTAGCAATGCATCGCAATAACTTTGGTGCATAAAAACACGGTCGGGCACGTTCACGGACAGAGCATCATCACTGCTCTGTGTACGGCTTTTGTTTTTTTAAATTTCAAATAAACAGCAGTGGCGTCACAGATTCAAAGTTCACAGTTTTACTACTGTTCACGTCCACTGTTGCTATCTCCAGGTGCTAACACAGCATATGTTGATCTGCTCTAACTTCCTGACTGGGAAATTTCTGACTTCCAGCTTCTTCAGGAGGCAACATACATCCTGCAGAGCCACAGTGTGGGCGTGGCCAGCCCTGGTGACCATGGGCCTGATTCCAGTCCAGACTGCAATAATCAAACAGTAAATCAGTCACTGAATACCAGTGTCAATATTTCTCTCAGACACATTGTTGGTTTGAAGAAATCATCATCATCATCATCAGCTCTCACTTTGAGTTAAAGTAAATCAAAGTGATTCAAATTTCACTTCCTAGAGTTTATTTCTATTTTAGTTTGTTTGAAGCTTCTGATGAAGATCACAGACACAGGTCACATGATCATCAACATGTAGACACACGCTGCAGTGGGTAGAGTGATGTGGAAGCTGCTTCACTGTGTACTGTACCACTGTGACAATAAACCCACTGGACTTGACGAGTGTGTGTGTGTGTGTGTGTGTGTGTGCGTGCGCACTCACAGACTTCCTCTCAGTCTTCAGCTCCTGAGTGTATCGTGTCAGCTCGCAGACGATTTGTGCATTCAGGTTTTCAGCAAGATCTTCTCTCTGGATGGCGAGTTCGTTCAGCTGCTGGAGAGTCGCCGCAAACGCCACAAACCAGGTGTACCTGAAACAACCAGTTGGCTGGCCAGCTCAGCTCACACACACTTCACAGGAAGCACATTTTCACCTCATGGTCAAAGCGCGCGGCCGTAGTTTGATGGTGCATACGCGTCACTCTCCACCGGAACTCATACCTGACCCAGACCGAGCACTGCACCCGTGTCCAGCTGACAACCATTTTCTCAGACTTGCAGGTGCCGACTTTAACCTCGAGTCTGTCAATGTGAGGTGGAGGTCGGTGCCTGATGATGCCAGCAGGACAAACAAGCAGAGATGCGGCGACCACAGAACCCTCAATCTATGGCTACCACCCTCCGCCGGCGCGACACCCCGCCCCTTGCCTGTGCCTACAAATTGTGTCCATAAGGTTCTGAAGAGACTCCGGGAGTGAGTCCATTCACTGTAGGCAGTATGGGCCGATCGACCACTCCTCAGGGAGCATGCTCAGCAAAGTGCGAGCGTTTTCATCGCGAGCAGAAACATCTGAACCAGCATTTTCTGATCAAAACTGCGATTTCACACAACGCGATCGTGTATTCGCCAAAGCTGCGGTTTTCTGCAGCGTTCCTGACTGACCCGTACTACGAAGTTTGACTCGTGGGTGAACTCGGTACAAACAGGTAAAGACTCACCTGCTCTCATCTTCTCTGTTCCTCTTGGGGTGGTACTTCTTCGACAAACTTCTGGAGACACACAGGTGACACACACAGGTGAGACACACAGGTGAGACACACAGGTAGTGCAGACTTTTGGGGTTTCGGGTTTTATTGAAATGAGACATTAAGGTAACACTCAGGTAATCACAGTTTTACACACACATCATCTGCACTGTGAGTAAATCCAGGTACTAATGATAAACTGACTGATCAGGTATTGTTATTTATTTGAAGGAGTTTAAAGGGTTGTCTCCAAACCTCCTCACAGTTTGACTTTAACAAATGTGACAAACTAAATTCAGGTTTTCCAGGAGTTTTACATGGTCGTGATGGTTCAGGTGTTGGTTTAAGGACTATACCTGATCTGTTTGGCGTAGCTCAGCTCAATGTCGGCGCGCTCTTTTACAAACTTAGTGTATCTCTCCAGGAAGTCGATCCCCCAGCTTGTGTGTTTCTCCAAGTTATCAAACTGATCCTGAAACAGCAGACTGATGTTAGTGTGACCTTTGACCTCTGACACTCACCTGAAGCACAGCATAAATAACAATTTACTCGCTGGACCCACGTCCTCATTTTATGTTTGACAGCGTTTTAGTAGGTAAAGGTGATGCTTGGACATGAGCTGAGCTGCGGTTTGGGGAAGGCTTTGAGGGGGCGACGGGCTGGCAGATCCCCACGTACTGAACAGAAGTGAAGAAGATACAGAATTGAAAAGGGGAGGAGCACGTAAACGAGAATGATAGCTTGCAGAACTGGGGGAACCGATATAGATGAGGACCGGAAGGAGCGTGGTTGGAGGCGTGGTCCCGCTCCTGAAATTTCGATACATAATCTCCAGCAAGTAGAGTGTTGTGAGTTTGGTCTCACAGGCCCTCAAAGAAACGGGAGAAACAAACGTGGACCATCAAATCTGAGCTTCCTGATCCTGTGAGCTCA